TTTTTCATGGGTGGGGTTTTCAGTCTCTGCCGCTCTTCCTGTCCGTCTCCCATCGACGACGATGGCAATACCATCCTCCTCTTCCTACAATGACGGCTTTCTCAATCAGGCAGAGAGAGAGAGAGAGAGAGAGAGAGAGAGAGAGGAGAGAGAGAAGATATACGACAATGCGCACGCTATATATTATAAGAGAAAAGGAAGGAGAACGTCTTTCTCCTCTCTCCTCCCCTCCAAATCCGTTCTTCCTTATAATAACATCATCATTTCCTTCGTTTCTCTCTGTCTGTCTCTTTGTCTCTGTGATCAATATCAAAAGAAGAGTTTTCTCCTGCGGAATTCAGGATGAACGGGAAGGCCTCCGTTTCCAAGGAGCTCAACGAGAAGCATTCGAAGGTCCCTTTCTCCCTCTCATCCCTTCCCATATCTCAAAATGGAGATTGCTCTGCTTTATTCATTTGCGTCTCAAAGGTTTCGTCTTTAAGCCAATTTACAGCCTGAGTCAGATTTGTGGGCGCAGATGTTAGAGGCCCTCCTGAAACTCCCGGATAACAGAGAATGCGCAGATTGCAGAAGCAAGTAGGCCCGCGTTTTTTCTTCTTTCCTTTAGGAATACAATTGCGTCGTTTGTTATTGTCTTATTGTCCTGAAACGCGGGAGCTTGTTTGATGGGTCGACAGGGCACCACGATGGGCAAGTGTGAACCTCGGCGTTTTCATATGCATGCAGTGCTCCGGAATACACCGCAGCCTCGGCGTCCACATCTCCCAGGTTCCTCTCTTTGCTCCTTGATCCAAGCTCGGTCTCTCTTCGTGAAAATAGATGGATTATGCGTATTCGTAATTGTGGAATAGGTAAGGTCTATCACTCTGGATACATGGCTCCCGGACCAGGTCGCTTTCATGCAATGTAAGCTCCCTCCCTCCATGTAATCATGAGTAGTTTCAATTCATTTACTAAAGAAAAATGGAACATCTTTCTCCTGGCTTTTGCTCATCTGATTCTATGTTCGCTGCTTAGTTATCGGTAATGCTAAGGCTAACCGACATTGGGAGTCTGAATTGCCTCCTCATTTTGAGAGAAGTTCAAGCGAGGCGTTCATCAAAGCCAAGTATTGATTTCTTCCACCTTAATGTTGAAACTGCTTCTACTCCCTGTAACTAGATATTATCCTCATTGATGCTGTTTACAGATATGCAGAGAAGAAATGGGTTCCTCGGGGAGCTGTACAACCTGCTCCTGCAATCACCCAACTGAGGTGCAATGTCAGCCACCTGGTAGAAACCGGCTTGAAACCTGAAACTCCGAGGAAAACAAGGACTCTTTCCTTGGATGAAAACATCCTTGTCAAGCATGTTGGGCAAATAAACCCTCCAGCAACAAGAACTCGGGCGGTACTCACATAACCAAATCCATGTTTAGATGCTTCCCCCCCTCCCCCACCCTTTTTTTTGAATCAGAATCAATCACTGAAAGGTTTTGAAAGCATCCATATCGATTGCCGATTGGAGTGACAAGGTAGACGTGTGCACTGCATGCAGGGTTCAGTGGATATGATGGGGAATGGATATGTTCCACCTCTACCAACAGGAATGGAAGTCAAGAAACCGAGTCAGGCGAGAGAGATCTCTACTGAGCTTCATAGCCGGAATGCAAATGAATCGAGTCGGAGGAGATATGCAGCACCACCGTCGAGCTGGGCAACTTTTGATTGTAAGGCTGAGACCGTCTTTTCTTTTAGCCCGTAGATGAAAACATTTCCAATGATGGTGCACCTGAAACAATGATCAACATATGCAGGAGATTGGAATCATCATGTGGGGTTACAGTCACAGGTTGGCAGTCAAGATGAGTTGCTGCCATCTCACACACTTGCTACTTGTTCTTGCTTTGAAACCATATGAGAGAATACGGAGAGGCCATAGAGCTGGTCCACCTCACCCATGTGTATTATTTGAATGTCAATAAGTTCATTTCACTTGTAATAATATTTGCCATTTCACCCCTTATCGTTATTTGAAAACAAAAAAGCACGTTGTTGCGTTGCTGTCTTAACTTCATTTTGATAATACATGAGCACCGGATTGTGCCAATGTATCCAATTTTTAGTAGGGGTGGGCGTTTCGGGTTTCGATTCGGTATTCAAACGGTTGGTTCGAGAATGATATTTTGGGTTTTATAAAAAGTGTACCAAACTAGAACCGAATGTTAAACGGTTCAGTTTGGTTCGAAAGGTATCATTATGTGAATACAAATAAGTACCAAACAATGATATTTACACTTAGTGGAAGATTCGAATTTTGGTTGGTTATTCAAACGATTTGGTTCGGGAACGATTTATTTGGTTTTATAAAAAGTGTACCAAATTAGAACCGAACGTTATTCGATTCGGTCCGATTCGATTTTGGATCGGATCGGGTCGGAACTAAATTTCTGAACCGAAGTGTACACCCCTAATTTCTAGTGTGCCCTCTTTCTGCAATTGGGTCGAAGGGCTCAGCAGAAGAAACATTGGGCATAGAGGCCCAAGCCCATAAACTGGGCCCAGTACATATGATGAATGTAGTTGGTGGTGGAAATTAAGACGCGGTGTGAAAATGTAATGGTCAGTCATTGGCCAATGGTCGCTGGTCAATTAATCGGAAGGCACCGCTCGCTTTCCCGTGTGGAAAATCAAATCAAATCAAAATATTTTATTTTCTGTTCTAAACCCGAATAATAATAAAAGGAAATAAAGCAGAGGTTCCGTGTTTCGGATATTTGTCTGCAAGAAAGACGCTGAATGAATTGTGGAGCTGAGGGGAGAGATTGAGTCAGCGCCGTCTTCCGGTCTCCGCCTTCTGCTTCTACCTCTTCTCACCGTGTTATTTGGGAAGATAGATAGCAACAAACATGGAGATGGACACAGACAAGGGAAAGGATGAGATTCCGATGCTGTCCGCGGAGGCAGACAGGGCCTTCACTTGGAGGCAACGCAGTGCCTCCCTCTCCAATCCCCCCGTTGCGGTTGAAGCCAACGTAAGGTTAGGGTTTACGGGTCCTCTCCGAACCCAGAGACGCACCACCATCATCCAGATGAGTCAGAGTGGGCCCCTCTCTTCAGACCCCCAACCTCAGCCTTCTCCTTCTCTCACCCACCTCAACCACAGCTCCTCCTCTGTCTCCAGCTACAAGAACTCTCATCTCTTGAGGTCTGGCCAGCTCGGCTTGTGTAATGACCCTTACTGCACTGTCTGCCCCTCCTACTACACTCGCAAACCCCCTCACCTTCAGTCTTCCAGGGTCTCCGCTCTCTTCGATTCTACGGTATTCCCTCTACTGATGATACCTTCCCTCCCAAGCAACATCCCTCTTCTAACTTTTCCTCTTTCCTCAGTTCCATCATGCTCTCTATGATGACGCTAAAGGTTGGGCCACACGGCTTCTCTCCTCCCTTCATCGGCGTATTCCCGGAGTCATGAATCCTCATGCCAGAATCGTTCAACGCTGGACTAAATTTTTTGCCGTCTCCTGTCTGTTGGCTATTTTTGTAGACCCCCTCTTCTTCTTCCTGCTCTTGGTCCAACAGGTATGTCCCCTTTACAGATATGCCCATTTTGGTTGGCTTTTGAGTCTTGAACAACCTCGTCACCCACCGCAGGACAACAAATGCATTGTAATCGATTGGCCCACAACTAGAGCCTTCGTCAGTGTTAGGAGTATAACGGATTTCATATACTTTCTCCACATCCTTCTTCAGGTGTGTTTGTTTTTCTTGCTGTCTCTCCATTCCTGTCCGCTCTAACGTTCCTTCTGAAAAAAGATTCATGCATTTGATATGCAGTTTCGCTTGGCCTATGTAGCTCCTGAGACCAGAGTAGTGGGAGCGGGGGAGTTAGTTGATCATCCCAAAAAGATTGCTCGCCATTACTTACGAGGAAAGTTTTTCCTCGATCTGTTTGTAACGTTACCGCTTCCGCAGGTAATGTATTGTTTCAGCTACCAAATATTGAGTAATGTCATTGTGGATCTCATTTGCTGCAGATCGTCCTTACAGATATTGATACTGTGGGCAATACCAAAGCACCTAGGCATGTCTGGAGCAAACGATGCAAAAAATCTTCTACGCGCTGCGGTCCTTGTTCAGTACATTCCAAAGTTGTATAGATTTTTGCCTCTGATTGCCGGACAAACGCCAACCGGCTTCATATTTGAGTCGGCATGGGCTAATTTTGTTATCAATCTTCTTACCTTCATGTTAGCTGGACATGTCGTTGGTTCGTGCTGGTATCTTTTTGGACTGCAGGTAAATCCTCGTCTTGAGACTTCATCCTTAGCATTTCTCTTACTTGCCTGCTCACAGCACAGGTGGTACTTGATGTGCACTGTCTAAATGAAACATGATATGCTGTATTTCAAGTGACGGCCTATGTGTTGGAGGGGCTAACCAATGCTTTCCTTTGTTTTTCCGTGCAGAGGGTTAACCAATGCCTCCGGGACGCTTGCCGGAGTCCTGAACGGGATTGTAAAACTCTAATAGATTGTGGACATGGAAACAGCAGTGAAACGACTTCAGCGAGAGCTTTGTGGAGAAATGATTCAAATGCCGTTGCTTGTTTCCAAGAAGATGGTTTTTCTTATGGTATCTATTTAAAGGTCGTCAATCTTACCAGTGAGACTAGTCTCTCCAAACGATACATTTACTCGTTGTTTTGGGGTTTTCAGGTAACTAACTGGCTCATCTTTAGTTCTTTTAGAAGGTTAAGACGCTGCTCGATGTAGCTCTCAGATATTGCTACTTGACATTCTTGTTGCTCTTTCCTTGCCATCCGTTGTTCTACATTCACGAAGCAAATCAGCACACTTGCTGGAAACCAAGTTCCAAGTTACTTTGTGTGGGAGGTCCTCTTTACCATGGGAATCATTGGATTGGGACTTTTGCTTTTCGCTCTTCTAATTGGTAATATGCAAAACTTCCTTCAAGCTCTCGGTCGAAGGTAGAAACTCAATCATCTTTGGTTTAACAAAGTAAAAATAGTCGTTTAAATTTTTTTTTTTCATTTCCTCTTCCTTTGCTAAATCGATGCCCCTTTTTACGTTTCTAATCCGTCAAGTGCTCGATGATTGTGTTATCTTGATTAGGAGGTTGGAAATGACACTAAGACGACGTGATGTGGAGCAATGGATGAGTCATAGACGGTTGCCAGAAGATTTAAGAAAGTATGAACCCTGCCTTCATTTCAGTCTGATTCTCGGTTGAAACATGCCGCTGAATCCGGCTCCGAGACTGACCCAATGGGTTTGTTGAACTCAGGAGGGTGCGAGAGGCTGAGCGGTTCAACTGGGCTGCTACCAGAGGAGTCAAAGAAGAAATACTCTTTGAGAATTTGCCAGAAGACCTCCAGAGAGATATAAGACGACACCTCTTCAAGTTTCTCCAGAAGGTGACAATTATGATTAGCTTACTTTTGAGAGGTTTATGTTGAATCAGAACCCAGTCCCCATCCCTTTCCGGATCTATGGGACACAGGTGCGAATCTTTTCCTTGATGGGCGAATCTATCTTAGATGCAATACGTCAGAGGCTGAGACAAAGGACATACATTAGGGGCAGCAATGTATTGCACCGTGGAGGTCTAGTTGAGAAGATGGTTTTTATAGTGCGTGGGGAGATGGAGAGCATCGGAGAAGATGGATCCATCCTGCCTCTATCAGAGGGGGATGTTTGCGGCGAGGAGCTCCTAACCTGGTGCCTGGAACGCTCTGCTGTAAATACTGGTATTGTATGAGACTTGCACTGCTCAGACCACCTTCTTTTAAGATCAAATCGAAACTAAAGTGATCCAGTTAGTTTTAGTTTTTTTTTCTTTTTTTTGATAATGTGAAAGTTCACCAGACCTTTAACCCCGACTACGTCTCTCGGAAGATTGGAGAACCCCGTGTGAATGCCCCCTCCTCAAATAAGGACTCGAACCCGAGTTAGAAAGGAGCTTTGCTCTCTTCCTTACTGGTCGAGGGTGTTTCAGTTGGGGTTAGATATTGCTTGATTTGTTTTATTCACTTACAGTTTTAGACTAAACTCCAGAAAGTATATTTATTTGTATGTTCCATGTTTTTCCCCCCGCTTCTTGGTAGTCCTGTTACCAGCCAGAAACTAAACCGTGTGATGAAGAAGTATGGATCTAGATATGATTTTTCGCTCGGTGCAACTTGTTCATTGCTAAAACGTAATCTGCAGAGGGAACGAGGATAAAGATACCGTCTAAGGGCTTGCTTAGCAGCAGAAGCGTTACATGTGTGACGAACGTGGAGGCATTTTCACTGAGCGTGGCCGACCTAGAAGACGTGACGAGCCAATTCTCGAGATTCCTGAGGAACCCCCGCGTCAAGGGAGCCATCAGGTAGATTTGTACTGTCCCTTAAAAGATCTACGTACGTACTTGTTACTGAGTGGAAATGTTGCAGGTACGAGTCGCCGTACTGGAGGCTACGAGCAGCTATGCAGATTCAAGTGGCATGGAGATACAGAAAGAGAAGACTTGGGCGGATAGACACAAACACTGCCAGTTGCAGGTACTGAACTGCACGCAGGCCCCGCTTGTCAGCCTCTTACTTATATATAAACCTTGCAAGATGGATCGCCTAAATGTTACACATCGTTCAATCTCCATCGTCATTTCTATAAGAAATTTACAATACAAAGACCATGGTGATTGATGTTTAACCATGCAAGGCTAGAGTCATGGATATGTTTTCTATTTCGTTCTCAGATATAGCAATGCTCTCCTACGCAAATGTTGTCATTAGTTCCTACGGTCGTTTGCTTTGCTGTGACGAAATTAACAACAATTATTATATTTTAAAAATCTTAAGCAATATGCCGCTTCAAACAAAACTTTCAAAGCCGTGAAAAAAAAATGACCGACAAAAAGATGTGACAAAAGTCTCACATAGATTAAATAATAAATCAACAGCAACATGCATCAACATCACCTGATTCCCAAATTTTTATTTGGGGTCGCCCGTATAAATTCTTCGTTCTTCACTCGTTTCCATTTTGCTGTATCCTTGAGCTTGTTAGTTAATATATCTACTACTCATATTTTCTCTCTAATAGTCTCATTTCTAATTCTATCCATCCTAATGTATGCGTACATCCATCTCAACATTCTCATATCGGTTACTCTCATTTTAGACATATGTTGATACGATCTTAGATTCGAATGTTCTCAAATAGAGATTAAAAAAAAAGATAGTTGATGGATGTTACCAAAAACCCTTAACAATTCGTGAATCAAAACTAAGAGTAGTTTCAATCTCTGAAGATCTCCTAAACGCAATCTAAATCTGGTTAAAAAACTTTGAAACCGGTAGAAGACGTCACAAATACGGGTAGTAAACGCGTTTGATAAGTCGAACGAAATACTAACGACTTAATCTCAAAGCCTAAAACTAGTATTTAAGAATAAGGAAGAATCACTCTCCTTTACTAGAAAACTCATCAAAAACTCAAAACAATCGTCCCTAGAAAGAAGAAATTAATAGGTCAAACAAACCCTAAAAATTATCAAAATGGATCATCGGAAACTGTTGTCATCATTAATGGAGAAGCATCGCCAGAAAACACTTGAATTTGTGCCATCTGAACTCATATCAACCTTTCCAAATGCTTTTCCAGAATTCACTCTATCCTTCTCCAGGTTCCTTTCAAAGTAATTTGGTATTGTCTCTGCAGATTCGTATTGTTTGCACTTTGACGAGTTTGATTATTTGTTCCAAATAGATACGGTTTTCCTTCCATGGACTATTTTGATTGACATCGCTATGTATGCTTGGAACCAGACTTTGACGCATTGGTTGGTCCTTTAGTTGCGTACACAAAATCGGGAGGGTCACACCTCAACAGGAACTAATATGAAACGCATGCCAAAACAACATATGATAATGAGAGACCCAAGAGAATATTAACTAACAAGGTCAAGGATGCAGCAAAATGGAGATGCACAATAACCAGCAAGGCATGTAAACCAAACCTATGTAGAGGTAAGTTGCACTCCTCCATTCCCAAAGCGACTCAACCCAATCCCACGTTCCCCCAAAACCATGTTGCATAATGCCCGCAAGAGGCTTTTCGGGCATCTCGATCTCACATCCTGTCTTATAGGCCGACACATCAAACACATTGGCACTAGCATCAACGCTCCAATCTCTGCTGCCGCAAAGTTGACGCTATGGACATCAGACACATGTAAGTTTAATATTCTTTAAACTCATCTAAATCATGATCTTCAATATGCATCACTTTAACATACAAGATCATGAATGCGGAAATAAAATTCTGAATCGGAAAACATACCTTGAGTTGAAATCTGAATTCTTCTAAGCTATAGCAATCACAAACGATGGTGTATTTGTTCTGTCTGTTGCTTAGCCTAGGGACCCAGATTTATGCCGTTTTAATAGTTTTTTCTCCATCAGAAAAAACTGATATTTGGCAGTTAATCATGCAGTTAACATTGAGTAAGTATTGGACCACTAATCATTAACGTAGGAGTTTTCTAATATGGGCAGTTATTGAAAACTTCCAACATTCTCCCACTTGGTCCATATGCTACTCTTAATATGTTAACCTTTGATCATCTTTATAAGAAACACAATACATGAATCATGGCGATAAGTTCTCTAAGTACGAGTATTATCTTCCATGTATTACAGTATATCATGTGTCTTTAAACTTTATATGATAACATTACTTAATGAATAAGCCTTATGCTTATTCTAGGTCCGAGCAAGTAAGTCTTTTAATATCAAATATAGTGTACACTGAAGAAAAAGATACTCACAACTGAATAAGAGTTTCATGAATACATAAACGTACGTACAAATGAAATAATCACATCATGGAACCAAGTCTCATACTCACAAGATGATCTCTGAAATTCTTAATTGGCATGCCCTTTGTCAGAGGATCGGCAATCATCAATTCAGTGCTAATGTGTTCAATGACCACTTTCTTTTCCGCAACACGTTCTCTTATGGCTAAGTACTTGATGTCGATGTGTTTACTCCGACTTCCACTCTTATTGTTCTTAGCCATGAAGACAGCATCTGAATTATCACAATATAATCTCAATGGCCTAGCAATAGAATCCACAATTCTAAGCCCGGATATGAAACTCTTCAACCATACACCATGCGACGTTGCCTCGAAACATGAAACAAACTCAGCTTCCATAGTGGAAGTAGCGGTCAATGTCTGCTTGCCACTCCTCCATGATACAGCTCCACCGGCAAGCATAAATACATATCCAGATGTTGACTTACGCGAGTCAACACAGCCAGCAAAGTCTGAATCTGAGTAACCGGTGACCTCTAAATCGTCCGTTCGTCTATACATAAGCATGTGATCCTTCGTACCTTGTAGGTACCTCATCACCTTCTTTGCAGCTTTCCAGTGGTCCAAACCTGGATTACTCTGATATCTCCCTAACATTCCCACGACAAATGCAATGTCAGGTCTTGTGCAAACCTGAGCATACATAAGGCTTCCAACTGCAGAAGCATATGGAATGTTCTTCATTTGTTCCCGTTCGAGCTCATTTTTCGGGCATTGATTCAAATTGAACCTATCACCCTTCACAATAGGTGCTGGACTCGGTGAACAATCTTTCATCCGAAACCTCTCCAAGACTTTATTGATATAGGTCTCCTGAGACAAACCTAGAATACATCTAGATCTATCTCTATGGATCTTAATGCCGATGACATAAGATGCCTCACCCATATCCTTCATGTCAAAATTCTTAGAGAGAAATTGTTTCACCTCATACAACAACCATTTGTCATTGGTTGCAAGTAAAATGTCATCCACATATAGAATAAGGAAACAAATCTTACTCTCACTGACCTTCTGGTATATGCAGTTATCCATGGTATTTTCTTCGAAGCCAAATGAAGGAATGACACCATGAAACTTCAAATACCACTGACAGGAAGCTTGTTTCAATCCATATATGGATCTCTTAAGTTTGCAAACCAAATGCTCACCACTACTAGAGGAGAATCCTTCAGGTTGTTTCATGTAAACCTCTTCCTCCAGTTCACCATTGAGGAACGTCGTTTTCACATCCATTTGATGTAAATCCATATCAAAATGGGCAACTAATGCCATGATCAAACGAAAAGAATCTTTCTTTGATACAAGAGAAAAAGTCTCCTTGTAATCGATTCCTTCTTTCTGAGTGAATCCTTTGGCTACGAGTCTTGCTTTATATCTTTCGATGTTACCCAATGAGTCTTTCTTGGTTTTGAAGACCCATTTACAACCAATGGCTTTTACACCATTAGGCAACTCGACAAGATCCCACACTTCATTCGGTGCCATCGAATCCATCTCATCTTTCATGGCACTATACCATAAGTTAGATTCCTTATAACTCATGGCTTGTGAAAACGTTTCAGGATCATTTTCGGCTCCAACATTATACTCACACTCTTGTAGATACACCATATAGTCATCCGGAATTGCTGATTTCCGTACTCTACTAGATCGTCTCAATGTTGTATCAACATTTTCCTGAGGATCATGTTGTACAACCGGTTCAACAATTTCAGGCATTTGTTGAACATGATCTACCGGATCATCAGCTTGTGGAGGTTCGGGAACTTGTTGTTCAACACGCACTGGAGCTGGATAAGTGCGACGAACGACAATAGTTCGAAGGTGACTTGAAGTAGAAGGTTGTGAAATAGAGTGATCACTCTCAGACCTTTCTCCTAATGATCTGTCACTCATACTAATCAAGTCATTCTCAAGAAATTTTGCATTTCTTGACTCCACAATCCGTGTACTGTGAGATGGACAATAAAATCTGTATCCCTTAGACTTTTCGGCATATCCAATGAAATAGCCACTAATGGTCCTCGGGTCTAACTTCTTCTCTTGTGGGTTATAAACTCTTACTTCAGACGGACATCCCCAAACGCGTACATGTCGCAAACTCGGTTTCCAACCTTTAAACAACTCGAAAGGTGTCTTTGAGACAGCCTTGGTTAGAACTCGGTTTAATATGTACACCGCCGTTTTAAGAGCTTCATTCCACAAGGACTTAAGAAGTTTTGAGTATGTTAACATACTCCGCACCATGTCCAATAATGTTTGGTTTCTCCTTTCCGCTACACCATTCTGGCTCGGAGAACCAGGTGTGGTATATTGGGCAACAATCCCATGTTCAGCAAGAAACTTCGCAAAAGGACTGGGTGCTTGTCTATTTTCAGTATATCTATCGTAATATTCACCACCCCTATCTGATCTCACGATCTTTATTTGCTTACCGCATTGTTTCTCTACTTCGACCTTAAAGAGTTTAAAAGCATCTAATGCTTCACTCTTGTTATCAAGAATGTAGAGATACATGTATCGCGAGTAATCATCTATGAAAGTGATGAAATATTTCTGTCGATATGCATCCATGTCTGGACAACATATATC